CAGCAGCAGCAGCAGCAGCAGCAGCAGCAGCAGCAGCAGCAGCAGCAGCAGCAGCAGCAGCAGCAGCAGCAGCAGCAGGAGGACCTGTTGATGGTTTGGAGCTGGTCGATGGAAGTGATTTCCCTGCTGAGTCCGCCGTGGGCGCAGAAGTACTCGTTGTCAACAGCAGCAGCAAGCGGCAGCAAATCGAAAACTTCCATAAAAGATTTGTAAACGCATGCAGCAGCAGCAGCAGCAAACTTGCGCATGCACTCGTCGTAAAACCCGTACACTTCCGTTATGCTGCGGCTCTCGTGGTTGCCCCGCAGCACAAACACTGCAGCAGCAGCAGCAGCAGCAGCAGCAGAGAGAGCAGCAGCAGCAGCAGTGAGAGCAGCAGCAGCAGCAGTGACAGCAGCAGCAGCAGCAGCAGTGAGAGCAGCAGCAGCAGCAGTGAGAGCAGCAGCAGCAGCAGCAGTGAGAGCAGCAGCAGCAGCAGCAGCAGTGAGAGCAGCAGCAGCAGCAGTGAGAGCAGCAGCAGCAGCTGCTGCTGCAGCGGGGAGAGCAGCAGCAGCAGAATTTTCATTTTATTTTCGTTTTTTTGAATTTTTGCGCCATTTTTTCTCCAGTTTGCAGCAGCAGCAAAAGGAAGAAAGCAAAGGGTTTAGAAACCCTAAAAAAGGGTTTAGAAAGGGTTTAAAAGACCTGAAGAAGGGTACTTTATTTTCAATGCTGCTATCAAACAAAAAACCTCCACCGAATAAAACCCTCTGTCCACATAATCCCCCAAAAACAAATATCGCACTTGGGGGGGGAAGCCTCCTAAAAACAAAAATAAATAAAAATAAAAATAAATAAATAAATAAATAAATAAATAAATAAATAAATAAATAAATAAATAAAATAATTAATTAATTAATTAATTAATTAATTAATTAATTAATTAAATTGTAATAATAAGAAAGGAATTCATTAATTGGTTAGTCAGCTTTTGTTTTGTTTAATTTGCTTTTAAAACAAAGTGCAGCAAATGCAGCAAATGCTTTTATTGCATTAAAAACGAAATAAATAAATATTTTAATTAATCAATTAATTAATTAATTAATTAATTAATTAATTAATTAATTAACTAATTAATTAGTTTAATTAATTAATTAATTAATTAATCAATCAATTAATTTAACTAATTAATTAATTAATTAATTGATGTACTAATTTATTATTTTAGATTTTAATTTGGGAAATTGAATTGAAGGGTTGGGAACTTATTAATGAGTAATTTATTTATTTATTTTTAATTAATTAATTAATTAATTAATTAATTAATTAATTTATTATTTATCATTTATTATTTATTATTATCTATTTATTATTTATTATCTGTTTATTTATTTATTTATTTATTTATTTAAAGATGGAAGAAAACGGGCGTTTGGCGCAAAGTAATTTTTTTGCATTTTGGAATTTTCTTTTTTCAATTAATTTGAAATCCAACTAAATTAATTAATTACTATTACTATTTATTTATTTATTTATTTATTTATTTATTTATTTATTTATTTATTTATTTATTTATTTATTTATTTATTTATTTATTTATTATTTATTTATTTATTTATTTATTTAATTCACCAACTCTAAACAATTCCAACAAGTCGTAAAACTGGCCGTGGATGTCCCCAGCGACTGTCACGGGGGTTTGCACGGCCAAACAGTTTGGCTCCCGCACCTGCACGCAAACCCTAAACCCTAAACCCTAAACCCTAAACCCTAAACCCTAAACCCTAAACCCTGAACCCTAAACCCTAAACCCTCAAGGCGGGGGGCTGGGCTTTAAACCCTTGATTCTTGAGGTCTCAGTGCTGAGTTCCAAACACTAGCCCTTGCCACCCCTAAACCCTAAACCCTAAACACTAAACCCTAAACCCTAAACCCTAAGTCCTGAACCCCAGATTGAACCCTTTAGACGGAAAACGAGAAAGCAGCAGAGACACTGAGGGCCTGTGCTCTAGGGTTTAGGGTTTAGGGTTTAGGGTTTAGGCAAACATTAAACTGCCAGAAATGCGCAAATAAATGAATAAAGGCAAAAAAGGAATGATAAATGGAAGCAGCAAATAAAGAAAAAGAAATAAATTGAAATAAACAATTAAATAAATGCAAAAATAAATTCAAGTTTTTAATTGAAATAAAAAATTGAAAAACAAACCAAAAGTGCTCCGCAGCAAGCAGCAGCAAACAGCAGCAAACAGCAGCAGCAGCAAGCAGCAGCAAGCAACAGCAAGCAGCAGCAAGCAGCAGCAAACAACACCAAGCAACCAAGCAGCAGCAGCAGCAGCAGCAGCAGCAGCAGCAGCAGCATCAAGCAGCAGCAGCAGCACCAAGCAGCAGCAGCAGCAGCAGCAGCACCAAGCAGCAGCAGCAGCAGCAGCAGGTAAAATGGAAACATGAATTAAAATAAATAATAAAGAGAATTAAAAGAATAAAAGAATTAAAAGAATAAAAGAATAAAAAGAATAAAAAGAAATAATAAAACTGACAAGAACTTCAGATAACTTTCGACAAAGCTGCTGCACTTCTGCTGCTGCTAAAGCCTCGCACTGCAGCAGCTTCGCAATGCAGCCTTCAATGCTGTCCGCCCGCCTGCTGCCTGCGCGCAAACCCTAAACCCTAAACCCTAAACCCTAAACCCTAAACCCTACAGTTGGGGAGTCTGCAAGTGCCTGGGGAGAGAATGGAAGTGAAACGGGAGAAAACGGAAATAAACTGCTGCTGCTGCTGCTGTTGCTGCTGCTGCTGCTGCTGCTGCTGCTATTTATCTGCTGCTGCTGCTGCTGCTGCTGCTATTTATCTGCTGCTGCTGCTGCTGCTTCTCGGGTGTACGGACAGTTTGTGGGGAGCCGCAGGGGCGGCATGGGGGGTGGGCTAAAAGCTGCAGCTGCGGCTCCCTTCTGCTGCTGCTGCTGCTGCTGCTGCTGCTGCTGCTGCTGCTGCTGCCCCCGCCTGCTGCTGTTAAAGAGGGCCTCCTGTCTCTCTTCTTCCCGCTGCAGTTCTGCTGCAGACACCCGGGGGCTGGGCATTGGGGTGTCTGCAAAGAAGCAGTAGGGGGCCCCCATGCTGCTGCTGCTGCTGCTGCTGCTGCTGCTGCTGCTGCTGCTGCTGCTGCTGTCCGCTAGGTACGGGTAGAAGGGGCTAGCGGAGGAGGCGCCCCGCGGGGTGCTGCTGGTGCTGCACTTGCTGCTGCTGAGGCTCATGCTGCTGCTGCTGCTGCTGCTGCTGCTGCTGCTGCAGGCAGTGCTTGCTGCAGCAGCAAAACTGACATTGTCCTCCCCACAACAAACAGCTTCACACATATCTTCCGTGGGGGCCCCCCCTAAGGGGGCCCCTCGGGGGCCCCCTGGGGGCCCCCCAGGGGGGCCCCCCGGGGGGCCCCCCAGGGGGCCCCCCAGGGGGGCCCCCAGGGGCCCTTCATAAGATAGAGGAAGCCGCTTGTG